TTGTATAGATAGTGTAAGAAATTGTTGGGTTATCCTAGGCCTTAGAATGACTTAAGGATTACCAAGGTAAATTCAAGGTTACCACAAATTGTTTTTGTACACATAAGGGGGGTTTACATTTACGAATAGCCAAGGCTTCAACAAACTTGGGAATTCGTCCTTGATAATTTCTATGTTTTAAAATCTGTATTATTGTCAATTTTGTAACCCGTTTCAATTATATGGTTTTCTACCTCCCACGTTGATCGGATCATTTGACATCAATTGGTTTTTAAGCCATCTGGGTACATATTCGATGAACCAAGACGAATCGGTTGTCCAGTGCTTCCACGTTTTCCATGATATCATTTAACACAGCTGTACAATCGTATTTAGTCGTTTTCATTACATATAATACTAATAATAATAGTAATAATAATAATAATAAGGAATTATTACGTCATTCACAGAAGTACTAAAAGCCAACTGTAATTTAAAGTTAATAAGAATGACGACAAGTAGAAACGAGATATGAAAGATTATTCACTAAACGATTATGGGGAAGATAAAAATATGAACAAATAATTTCAATAGTTGAAAGCATGAGTCAATTGAAGATGGACCACCATGGAAAACCTGGAAGCGCTGGACAGCTCTTTCGTCCTAGTATGGAACTCCTCAGTAGCGTGCATCCAAGAGTCTCCCCCCCGTGTGATTCGGATTCAGGACCTATCAGTCTCGCGCGCGAGCGCTTAACCACTAGACCCAAAATAACGGTCCACTTGAAGAATACAGCAAGATAAAGACAATAAAACAAACAAACAGTAAACAGTTACTAGAAAAATATGAAAGGGTGTTGTAACCATTGTTTTAACGAAGAAACTGGACATACAGCTTGAAAAACATGATAAAGATCAGGATTGAATTGATGAATTTCCAAACGCTTTGTTATGTATAAGTTTCAAATTCAGCTACTCTTGGAACCAGTGTGTTTTACTCTGTGAATAGTCTCGAATGAGTATTCTGAAGGAGGTATATATAATAGCTGTTCAGTAATAGAGCTGTTGTCTGAGTCTCATTCACTTTTCAATAACTATGCTGAATAAACTTTGAGGTGGCCCAAAGTCAAATTTTATCGTGTATACATCCATGTATTAACCAACTGTTGAGAAATACAACTCTAAACTTAGCTAAATGAGAGATTTTTGTGGTGAACAACGTCGCCGTAAGGAAAAATTTCTTTGTAAAGATGCCATCGTTTTGCTTCATTATCTATTAATTCAAAATAACTAAGTCAAACTGGGTTTCTGTAGGAAATTTTTGCACGGCTGAACCAATAACAGTTCATTAACTTAAGACAGACATGTACAATATCTTAATTCACAATGGCCCTATTAGCCCCTACTTATTTTGTAAGCTATTTGCAACTTATTCACTTTTTCTCCATAAATTGTCCATATTTCCCAAGTAAATAATTGTCTTTGAGCTGAAGACTCTTACGCAACCTATATTCACTAGTGAAAATTTTTCGATATATTACCACTGCCAAGGAGTCCCACAATATGACGAAACGGCCATCTAGTACTTCCAGTTTTTCAATGGTGGTTTAGCTTCAACCGACTCATGATCTTAACTACTGAAATTACTACAATCTCCACAGAGCCCCTTCTGATAATTATCATAACTTTGTTAACGGACTCGATTTCTTGCCATTATCGACTACTATGTGTTAAAAGTGACCATAAATATGACTGAATAGGTCAAGTAAGTGACTTAATCGATAAGTTGAACTTCCTTCTATGAATAGCATTTATTCTATTGATTAACTCAATGAGTTTGTTTCATTGCTTTGAAATAAGTGGTTATGTAATCAAGCAGTATTATGGAGTAAACACCAGTACGTGATTAAAAAAAGGGGAGTTACTTCATACAAGTCAATAAGCATTACATCATATGTCCTTTCGATGTATAAGCACCTGGTCCAAATAGCCTGATCATAATTGTCTCTGTAAAACGGGTTTATTTGATTCCAAACATCGTTTGTTGTCCTCGTTTTCTTCGAATTTATCAAGAGAGCAAGATGCATAAATTGACTTTACAGTGATAATCATCATATTTTAAGTAGTGATTAGCCTACAAATAGCTTGAGCGAACGTTTAAGTAAGGAATTGTAGCCTATGTCTGTAAGCTAACTAAGAGTGATGCAGTAACTTACTAGATAAGGATAAGCCGTTATTCCGAATCGAATACATTTATAAACAATAACCTATTAACACACATATATTGGTAATTTCCTGTCTGCATGCTCACACTAGCATCTGACGTGCATTTGTTCCAGGTTCCAGATTGTTAGTCACAGAATGACTGTCAACAGTTATCCGCTAGCTATTCATACAAAGGGAGCTCAAGACCACTGAGAAGTGATCAAAATATGATATTTAGGCATTTCAGTGCTCTCCTACATGACCCGCTATTAAGTTTAAGACTTGAGCAACAAGCTGTAAATCTACATATCTTTATTTAGTTTGAACTAACCAGCAACGTTCCCTATAAATCTTTGTCGAAATCTTCACACATGATTCAACTCAAACTTACTCTATCCAGTGTCCGAGTCAGAGACTTCTTCGACGCTGTTTGGACTACTGGTTTTCTCCTATAGGACTAAGATATCAACATTGATTGACCGTTCTTAAGTAACCGCTATCATGTTTCTGCAATCTTGTAGTGATGGTCGAGCCCTATGTGACTACCACTCTCAGTGATCCAATATTATGTTATACTCTGTTCCGCAATAAACAGCTTTAACCAACAGTAGATTCTTATACACTGTCTATTCTTAAAACGAATGTTCAATCAGTCGTCGGTTTTTCATGTTTTAATTGAGGTTGTTACAGGTGGTTTCATTATTCTAAATTTTAAAAAATATAGGCGGTTAAGCATTAATTCGCAAGAATTTCATACTGTGACAACATTCGTATACTCATATAGTTAAATATACCCATTACGTACTAGTTCTGTTACTATGTCGCTTCGAAAGACCGACATAATTTCATTGAAACGAAGTGCCACAGATCAAATCCATTCTCTTAATCATGTTAAAATTTGATTGTCAATTAATTCAAATAAACACACTGTTCGTATTTTCAAAGGAAATCGAATAGTAAGTGATGCATATTCCGTTAATGAATTTCTGAATTAAGATCTCACTGTAATTACACACCTTTTGGTTTTTTGTTGGCTGCATAGACAAAGTTGATCTCTGATGAGAAACTTCAATTTTGCTGTTCTAGACTGAATTACGGAGGATTTTTATACATTTTCACCGTACATCTTCTAAGACGACCCCGACACCCAGAGAGAAAAGGATAAATGACGATTAACTCGAACAAAACTCAAATCTTTCAAATCCATTTGGCAAACATAAATGTTATTCTACTGATTCACTATAATTACAATCATATCGTTTGGTGAAACTCTCCTTTATCCTTGACAATTTCATTATCTAAAACACCAATTGATTATGTGTATTAGACTACGACTAGACTGTGTGCCAATAGAGGAATTATTATGTGGCTCCACTGGTATTTGATAAATGCATTGTTCAGATTTCAATGTGATTTAGGGTTAAAGAAGGACATGAGTGTCTTTAATTTTGACGTATTTGAACATGAGTAAACATACCAAAATGTTAAGGGCTAAGACTGGCTAATCCAAATAAACAAAATGACTTTAGAATGAATTTTTTATCAACGCTTTTCAGTCCTTTGCCTAATTTAAAACCACACCAAAAACATGAAAATGACCATCACGAAATTCAGCGGAAATTCCAAAACTATTATGTCAAGAAGTAAGGATGGATAGAAAGTCACTGTAATCCTTGCGAATGTTTTAAGAAACCGTGTAGTATATGGAAGCTAAAACAAGATGAGCAATTGTAAAACACTTCACCACAACCAGAAATGTTTACACAGCTGGAAAAACACTAAAATAATCTCTGACTTTGAGATATTTTCAACTCTATTGAATAGACACAACTGATTGAATTCAATGATATTGAATCTTTTATGACTTTAAATGATTGACCAATCATATCACGGGTTGACAGGAATTAAAAGACATGGCTTGAGATCACTGTGTAAAAAGTAACCCATCCACCATGTCATTTAATTGCGTCCCTGATAAGTTAATATGTGAATGTTCTTGAAAAGTCAAACTAGAACACAACATCTGTTTACCGATCAAAGGTTTTCAGGGAAATTTCCAGCTGGATATTATTTCTTATCTCTCATATTTGAACTCACTCTCACGGCTAATTGGATAAAGGAGGTTTAGGAGTCGTGATGGTTGAGATTTGCACTGTTGAATACTATTAGCAAAATGTACATCAAATGGCAGTATACTACCGCCGCTCATCATGTTTTTCTCTGAAGCAAAGGAATAGGAACACAACACTTGGATTCATAAACAGGGGTTTTTCATGACCATCATTACAGATTTATTGTAGTTAAATAACTATTGAAAATCAGTAAGCACTCGGTATCTGTTCCGCACAGACATGTGACTCCTTAGCAGTGCTCGTCCACTGGTGACCAAACACCAGACATTTGGTCTCATACACAGACGTACATTTATCTCGTAATAAAAGTAGAGTGGTTTTAAATTACGGACACTGTTTTCTCTCACTCTATCCAAACCTGTTTATTTGATATATTCCAGTGTTTCAGTCCTAATTCTTAGCTATTCGAGTGAGTTCAAAATCTTTAAGATGATCGGAGTTTCAATGAGTAAAATAATCAAAATTATTGACATTATCGTAACACTATTTGTCAATAAGTTGTTTTATTTAGAACTAGTTCGGATCCTTCTAATTTGTGTCTATTGTTTGTCAAATGTAAAGTTACAGAAGTAGTAGAATGTGAAGTGTCTATACACTTTGCTGACATAACTCCACATTTGGTAAGGAGCAGCGTGTCAGTTTAATTCATTTAAACAACCAATAAAGGCAAATGAAAAGATAAGTCTCGAAAACATTGTTTAGATTTTATATTTTCCGTTGATATTACAATATTAAGTCCAGTAACCTTTGGTTATTCATGTTCTTTTTTAATGTTTATTGAACAAAATACAAGATTCCATTATTTGTTTAATAAATGACAATAAAATAAAAATATGAAGAAAAAGAGATTTAATTATATAAATTTAAAGTCTTTTGGAAAATCAAATTTAGTGTTTAAACCTTCAATAATTTTAATCTCAGTCAGAATCGCCAGATTTGATAGCTCGTATAACACAGATAGCAAAAACAATACACAATAACTGAAGGATAGCGAATACAAATGCCGCTACTAAAACGGCGACAATATACTTTTCAAAGAAGGCGATTACTTTGTATGAACAGCCCTGAAATTAAAAAGAACATTATTACGTTCGACTAAAATAGGGATTAAGTTTCAGGAAATAATTGCCCTATTTCTGATGTTAGAGGTCAAAATCTTTTAACATCGGGTGAGTGGTATCCTGAAAACATGGTCTGTGTTTTCAAAATGACCGGAGATAGTGTGCGATATCCATGGCTGACTCAAAGTGTTGGTCATCAGTTTAAATAATCACCTATGTTTATACCATGCCTCACCCAGAAACAGCGTACTCTAGTAGCACGCAAGCAAGGAAAACATTTGTGATTTGATGTGCTCTTTAGACAAATGCAAACCTCACTGGTCAAGATTATCTATCCACTACTGTGAAAAGTAAAAGCGTGAGTTGAACCACACTACTAACGATCAAACATATTTGTCGTCGTACTAATAATTGTATCCAGTGTGCAATCATTATTCTTTATTAAATGCTGACTCAAGTAACAATGCCACTTAGTAGGGATGTGATCAGACATGATTCACTTAAAAAGCAGATCTCTACAACTATGATCACTAACGTCACCCCACCACACAAAGTCAGTGTGCAATCCTCACCAAGTTTATGGATCGTGTTAGGCCGAACGTCTAAATTTATAAATATGAACTATCAGATTTAGTTCTGGCTTGAAGTGTGATCCTGAAAGTTTCATGAAATGACTACTATTAGCACCTGAGTATAAACGAGAATTTCCAGACTGTAAACAAGGCTGAATATCAAAGATTTTTAACATGTTCTAAAATTGATTGGTGGTGGTCATAATATCTACACATTGGTAATATTTTGCGTACCCGATATTTGGGTGGACATTTGCAATCATCATGTGCTTCTGTGTAAATTAATAATTACTTTAAGATTCAATTTACCTAACTGCAAACATCTTAAGGTACTTCCTGAGTCTGAAATCTCACGGCGTAGGTCAAAAAACCTCCTATCCTATTCGTATCACTGAAGAAAGCAAACAGAAGATCATGTTCACAACTCCAGGAAACAGTATGTCCTGAGTAGTCACGTTGGCTGAAGATAGTAGTACTTTAAAATTGACTGTTAATAGGCATTTCATAAAGTATTTAATCGAGATTCCAAGCTTGTACAAAAATTCAAAACAGTTTACCATTGAGATTTGATAGATTAGCTTTCACTCATGCACAAAGATTGTAATTTTCACTTTTCCGTTGCTCGTTATTATTTCAACACTTTTTATAGGTTTAAACATCCTTTAAATAGTTAATATAAGAGACGTATTGAAATAATGGAACATCCCACATCACATCTCATAGATTTTTGAAAAAATATAAAACTTATGTAGATATTTTAAAGCCAAAACAAAATTTCTCTCAACTTACATCTGAGTATATAGCCTTAGTTTTTGTATCTTTACATGAGTCAGGGACGGTTTGTCCAGATGATGTGTAGTCACTTGACGATTCAGAGCCGCAACATTGAAACTACAAAATAAACTACAGTTTTTAATGGTATACCTCTTGTTGTATCTTGTCTAAGAAATTCTTAAAGTCCGGATTCTTGCTATATTCATTGACGGAGCTTTTAACCAAAGATAGGAACTGAGATTTTACTTCGTCTCTCAGCACAGCAGCCGTTATTCCTGCCGCTATTTCAGCCGCGACCATGACTGACAGAAGAATTGCGTACTTTATTTTTAAAATAAATGTATGTAGCAATTTACCAAGATTAGACAACAAGTATTTTTGGTACATGCCCCACAAAATCCGAGAAATCCAAGCAAAAATAAGAAGCATCCGAGTACTATCACGAAGATTACGAGACCTTTGATGCTTGAATCGATCCCAGAAGAGTAGTTATTAATAGCAACTTGAGAGAGACTCCCAATCACTATCAAAGCAATTCCACATGCCTTTCAGGAAAAACGTATTTCACCATATGTTATCTAACTTACAAAAACAAGGATATTAAATATCACTAAAAGAATCTGCAAACACTTATATCCGCAGCTCAAAGAGGCCATATTCTAAAGGTTGCACGGAAAGAACTTATGAAGTTTATATAGCTTCAGGGTCGTCTTTGATACCTTGAATAATAATGGCGTAGATTAACAAAAATGTAAGTTATTATGTGATTTGGCAGAAAAGTAGGTTCGCAATGATAATTCTCCGATGCACTCACTGTACTGAATTAGTTCCGAAAAGAGAACTCTGTAGCGGGAAATAAATCCTCAAAATCAATAGCCCCGTAAGTCTTCGACATTAGATGCTGACCACATTAGTTTTAATGTACTCGCTTAGCTGAAGGTGCTCGGTCATTCATCCGCACCAGATCATGATTGGGAACCTCTTGCTCAACATCCTCTGCGAACGCCAGTCAGTTTAGACCAGTCGGTTTTCGATATATTAATAATCTATCAAATATATCTTCAAACCTCCACGCTTTTGACTTTAGATTTTACTGGATGGGCACGACTCAAACTGGAAATACCTGTGGCATCTTCAAATCACTCTGATTGCTGTCTGATATTCGTTAATCTGCATATATTTGTGTCATTCATACTAACTGATGATTTCTTTGTACTTGATTGCGCGCTTATTGTGACTACCAAATATAATACGTTCGCGTGTGACTATCTGGTCCTGCTCGCCATAAGTTGTACTATTTCGAGAATTCTTAGCTAGCATATAAATCTAGATACTACTAATTATTATACTAGTGGCGCATTGGATTTAAGCTTGGATAGTCGAATAATAATTCAAGTGTGGCTGACTTTGAAAACTAGCGCTCGACTAGAAAAGATATAGAAGATTGCGAATTCGCATGTTATTTCTTGATACTAATCGGCAAAGAAGCTTATAACCTGCTGAATTATTTGGCTTTTCAGAGAAATCGACTTCGTTGTCACATGAATATCACAAGTTATTACTATATAATCGTATGCATTGTGTTAGCTTTGAAGAGGGATCGAAGTTTCACAAAATGATGTGACGGAATGATTCAAAAGCTGAAGACCTTATGCTTGAAATGCAAAAACTGGTCGCGAAGTGTAGTTTTAGGGACCATTTGTGGTCGGTTGATTGCTGGGATAAACAATTCGAAGTAAAATGAAAATTGCCTTTGAAATGCAGGCGTTCAGTTCAAGAAATCGAGCCAGCATGTGTGAACTACGAGGCGGTTAAAGATGCCGCATGTATTCGGAGTTTAACAGCGCCTCCACATGTAACATATTAATAATTGACGTATGTCAACTCAGTTAAATCAGAAGTCTGAAATGAAGAGGATCGAAGATACTGATGATGTCACAGGTATTCAGTGTTTGACAACGCTTCTACCAGTAACACCTTCTAATATATTTCGTTCCCGCCCAGAGAAATCAAAAGACAGAGTCGAGGAGATCGGAAGAGTATATTTGGCGATGACCAATATATCGGAATTCTCTGATCTAATCTGGCTAGCGATTGCGGTTGATGTTGAGCACGGCGTTACCACACGTGATCTGGTGCGGATGCCTGACCGAGCGCCTTCAGCTAGGTGAGTCCACTAAAACATATGGTCAGCATCCAATGTCGAAAACTTAGTGCTATTTATTTTGGGGATTTTTTTACCGCTACAGATCACTCCCCCCCCTAGTGGGGCAGTGACGACCCTAAGACGTGGCCAGCCAGAAGTTTAAACCCAACGAGTTTGTCGTTGGTAAACACTCTTCCGATAGCTTACTAAATTTAGCAGCGTCTGGTCGTCTTTCCTTACTATATGGGACGGAGGTACAACATAGTGAAAAAGAAAATGTACAATGAAAATTTCGGATCCTCATAAATGTCATCGTTCTTTTCCAGCCGTCCTAGAAAAGAAAAAAAATGTAAGTGCATGTCGAAAATACACTCGTATGTGCGTAAAAGCACAATGTCGGCGGAAAAAAAAAGGAAAATAAACTCATGAACACGTAATAGCGTTAAAAAAATTGTTTTTTTGTTTTGTTTTTTTTAAATAGAAATAAAAATATATAAGCATATTAAAATTTTTTTTTAAAAAAATAATATAAAATGTCAAGAAGTGCCTTACTTGCAATAGTCGTTTAAATGTTCTGGAAATCTCACCCTTCTTCCAGAACGCGTCGTTTTAAGTTTATTTTCGGATACTGTCGAAGTATCATCGTGTGTGTTGGTTGTCGGATGAGGTATTATAAGTGTCGGAGTCGTGTCGTTCGATTGTACCGAAGGAAAATCCACGTAGATAGGATTTCCTTCTAAATACGCTGCTTTTAAGCGATCGATGCTGATGCTATCGTTGGTTCCGTTCTTATCGACTATATAGTACTTGGATTCACGTTGAAGAACTTTGAAGGGTCCTTCGTATGCTGATTCGAAGGGTCGTCGATGCGAGTCTCGACGAACGAAAACGTGTGTACTATATCGTAAGTCAGGTTGAACGAAAACATCAGTTGATTGAGGTCGAGTGGAAGCAGGTTTAACTGAACGCATTGCGTTTGTAAGCCTGTTCGTGTAGGAGGTTAGATCCATGTTCACTGAAGAGGATGAAGGATCCACGAATTCTCCTGGAAGTCGAAGTGTCGTTCCATAAACGAGTTGAGCCGCAGTGTATCCAATGTCAGCTTTCACTGCATTGCGGATACCTAGTAAGACGAGTGGAAGAGCGTCGGTCCATTGTGAAACGTTTGCAGCTGATAGCGAAGCTTTCAGTTGTCGATGAAAACGTTCTACCAACCAGTTTGCTTGTGGATGGTAGGCGGTCGTTCGGAAGCGAGTGATTCCTAAAAGTGTGGTCAGACGACGGAAAAGATCGGATTCAAACTGACGTCCGCGGTCTGTAGTGATGGTTGAAGGGCAGCCGAAGTTTGCTACCCATCGTTCGACGAAGGTGCGAGCCACTGTTTCAGCAGTGATGTCCTTGATAGGTACTGCTTCTGGCCATCGAGTGAAACGGTCTACGCAGGTTAAGAGATAAGAGTATCCATTTGAATCTGGTAAAGGTCCTACCAAATCCAGATGAACATGGTCGAAACGAGCATCGGGAGTTTTAAACGAGCCTAAGGGACATTTATTGTGTCTGATAACCTTAGGTTTTTGGCAGCTTACACAAGAGCGTGCCCACTCCCTCACGTCTTTATTCATTCCAGGCCAGCAAAACCGTTCTGCTATAAGCTTGATGGTTGCACGAACACCTGGATGCGAAAGTTTGTGCAATGTGTTGAAGACATTGCGTCGATAATGTTTCGGCACGATTGGGCGATCCCTACCTGTAGATGTGTCACAAAGTAAGGTTTCCTTACCTGTTCCCATCTGTTTGATGCGTAGTTTAAGTGTTGTGGACGATAACTCGTGCTGAAGATCACTGTCTTCTTTTTGAAGCTCGGCGAGTTTAAGAAGGTCGATTCCTTGGAAACTGTTCAAGGAAGTTATGCGAGATAAAGCGTCTGCAACTACATTGTTTGCTCCAGAGATGTGTTGAATATCTGAAGTAAACTGCGAAATGTATTCCAGTTGTCGAGACTCACGTGGAGAGTACTTGTCAGAAGGAGAGCTTAACGAGAAAGTGAGCGGTTTATGGTCCGTGAAAAGAGTGAATTCACGACCTTCGATGTAGTGTTGAAAATGCCGTACAGCACAATACATAGCTAGGAGTTCCCTACCGAATGTGCTGTACCTCGATTCGGTGTCTAGCAACCTTCTTGAGAAAAATGCCAAGGGTTGCCAGGAGTTGTTAACCCATTGTTGTAAGACTCCTCCGATTGCCGAGTCGGATGCGTCTACTGCGATGCTAATGGGTGCTCGGGTGTCCTGATGTGCGAGCATCGTTGCTTTAGCAATCAGTTCCTTAACTGTGGAGAATGCTTTTCGTGCGGTGTCGTCCAAATTAATGGATTTCGCATTTCCACGAAGTTGGTCGGTCAGAGGTTTCATAAGTAATGCGCATTTCGGTATGAAACGTCTATAGAAACTTACCAGGCCGTTAAACGTGCGTAATTGCTTGACGGTGGTCGGTTCTGGGTAATCCAGAATGGCCGCCACTTTGGTCCTAAGAGGTCGAATGCCTTGAGCATCGATAGTGTGTCCTAGGAAGTCTAACGAGTCGGTTCCAAATTGGCATTTCTGAACGTTTACAGTTATGCCATGTTTTTGAAGTCGTTCGAAAACAAGATCCAGATGCTTGAGATGTGTTTCTCTGTCCGGACTTGCGATTAGACAGTCGTCAACATACGCGTGTACGAAGTTGAGACCTCGAAAAACGTCGTCTATGAATCTTTGGAATGTTTGAGCAGCATTCCTTAGACCGAAAGGCATTCGCAAAAATTCATAGAGTCCGAAAGGAGTTATGATAGCTGTTTTCGGTATGTCGTCAGTAGCCATAGGGATTTGGTTATACGCTTTAACCAAGTCGATTTTCGAAAAGACAGTTGTACCTTTCAAGGTAGCTGTCAAATCGTGAATGTGAGGCAACGGGTAACGATCGGGAATGGTTTTCGCGTTCAATCGCCGATAGTCACCAGTTGGACGCCAATCGTTGCTGTCCTTTTTAGGGACCATGTGCAACGGAGATGCATATGGGCTACTTGACGGTCGTATGATTCCTAAGTCCATCATGTGATCGAATTCGTTTTTCGCTAACCTTAGCTTTTCAGGAGCTAGTCGTCGTGCTTTAGAGAATACAGGTGGTCCTGTAGTCGTGATGTGATGTGTAACATTGCTGGTTACACACGGTAGTTTCGGTTGAGTTTGTTGTATCCCAGGGTACTTATCGAGTAGTGGCTGATAGAGTGGGTCTATCATATGTTTAACCGTGACTGGGGATACTCTACAACCAGTAAAAGAAGTTACGCAAACGGACAAATTAGTGTTTCCGTCTACTAGCCTCCGTTTGCGCGTGTCGATGATCAGATTGTGGTGTTGTAGAAGGTCCATCCCAATGATTGGCATAGAAACATCTGCAATAACAAAAATCCAGTGGATGGGTTTGCGTAAGCCCACGTTAAGGTAAACGTACCTTTTTCCATACGTAGCGATCGGTTTTCCGTTTGCCGCCTGTAAGTTTAGGGTCGATTCGTGTAGTCGGTCGT